ACACTACAGCTGATATCAGAACCAGATATACTTCCCCCTACCCTAGCTAACCAATCAGCGGACATCATGATTCTAACTCCTTTAAGCACCATAATTTAATGATTCATACACACACACACACACACACACACACACACACACATACCCATGTAACCCATTTCTGGGAAGCCATCTGGGGGCCAAGTCTTTCTGCATTAGCTCACATGTGCCACTTCCTAAAAATAAACCCTGCTGTCTTTGCTGCAAGCTCCCATTCACATCTTATTGGGCTCTGATGCATGCAGGCAAACAGGTCCCTCTAGTCTGGTAACATCATCTGAAGGGGCAGGCAAGCTTGTGGGTTTGAGCTCTTGGTCTGTAGAAGTCATGCTACCTCTGGATAATATCAACTAAGTTGAATTTTAGGACACCCAACTTGTATTAGAAAAGTGCTTGGTAGAATAGGAAAAAAACGTGCTACGTGGGTATTGGAGATCAGAAAAATTAGTCACAAAGCTAGTAATTATAGGCTGAGTTCCAAACCCAGACCCTCTGGTTCCAGAATCTGGGCTCTTCCTACCTATGTTATGCCACTTTTTGTGATTCAGAAAGACTCTTTGCAGATTATTTTTTTAATTTTTTATTGATTAAGGTATCACATATTTGTCCTCAACTCCCCATTCCAATCCCCCACCCCATCCCCACTCCTGCCACCACCCCCCTATTGTCCTCGACCACTGGTTAGGCTCATATGTATGCACATAAGTCCTTTGGTTGATCTCTCCCTTTTATCCCCACCCTCCCTTTGAGGTCCAACAGTCTGACCCATGGCTTCTTATCTCTGGGTCATTTCTTGTTCATCAGTCTATGTTGTTCACCATTTCCCCTAGATGAGTGAGATCATGTCTTACTGGAATTATACTTATAAGAATCAAAAATGAGACAAGCAATAATCGTTATGCTAAAAGGCATATGAATCAGTCTGTAGAGTTTCTCTCTGGGCCACCAGTTCTTTTGAGACTCAATTTCAATGTCAAACAGTTCCTTATGTGTACATGTCAGCAATGATATTCCAGTTCTGGATGGTGGGCAAATGGTGGTATGCATATTATCTTTTTTGTTACATTTTACAGGGACCTAAAATCTTGACTTAAGGCCTGGCCAGTGTGGTTGAGTGTCATATGAACCAGGAGGTTGCAGTTCAATTCCTGGTTAGGGAACATGCCCAGATTGTGGGGCATGCAAAAGGCAGCCAATCAATGATTCTCTCTCATCATTGATATTTCTATCTCCCTCTCCCTTTCTCTCTGAAATCAATAAAAATGTATTTTTAAAATCCTGACTTAAGGCAGCTATTTGAAACTGAATGTATTCATTTCTTTCCTCCTAGCTGGGGAACAGGCTCTCTCTGTGTCCTAAAAAACCACTTGCCTATTGTGTTCCTGATCCACCATCATGGCACCTGCAAATGAGTCAGAGCCAGTGAACTGCTCTCCCTCAGTAGCACCAGGTCTTGATTTCTCCTGACACTTTGATTCATTCACTCGTCCTTTGGGGACTTTGATGTCATTTCCCCATTCAAAGTCATCAGAGTACAAAGGCAGGGCAGAATATATATATAGTTCCATGGAAAGCATTGGATGGTACCTGGATCTGAACCAGGTTCCTCACTACTGACCCATTTTTCTGAGTCTCAGTCCCTTCCCTTATGAGAAGTTAAGTGCATTTAGTGCTTAGATAACTAATGGGTTTTGTGGACATTCTGTCTTAACATGGAGCAAATAGTTCATATGTCTTAAAATTAAAGATAGAAAAGGATGTAAAACTGCTTGTAAACTTTTAAACTACGTGCAACTATTAATTAGCACTGACAGTCATTACTAACCAGGTCCAGAACCAGGAATTGTGTAATAATTACTGCTGTCTAGTACTGTGCAATCATTAGAGCAGAACTGAGTACAAGTTGATCCTCTGAGTTCAAAGATGAAGAACTAATTAATAAACCAAAAATTCCATGGGGCTCTTTACCTTCCCATTGTCCTAAACCAGAAATTATTTCAGGCAGATTCGTAATCTCTGTTTGGCCTAATAGGTAAGGCATAAAGAATAATATGAGACAATCCAGTGATTTGTAGAGCAAATTCCTAAGCAAACTCTACAATGTTTATCTATGGAAATTTGAAGTATCTGCTTGGGAGTCAAATGAAAGTTCTTGGTTCTAGGACTTAAAAAGCTGAGTGAAGCATTTGGGACTTGATAAGGGATCTCTGTGGCTTTAGTGAGAACCTCTATGGCCTTCATGGGGAAAGTTTCCGGGACCCTGGTAGGAGATCCTCTGTGACTAATGTGAGACCATTGTGAGTGGACTTCACCCAACTCACCTGAGGCTTAGCTTTTTTGGACTTCATAGGTTTGGGGAAAGGAAGATAACACTTCAGCTCCCATGAAGCCCATAACAAGAAGAGTACAATTTCAGTGTCTCTCTTTATAAGCATTGGAAGGACAGAGGATTTTTATTTATATCTTAGGAGGTCCACAAGCCAAAACTTTAAATGGAAAGGTAAGTAGATATCCCTAGCCATTTTGGCTCAGTGGATAGAGCGATGGCCTTCAAACTAAAGTCTCAGGTTTGATTCCCATCAAGGGCATGTACCTCAGTTTCAGGCTCCTGGCCCTGGTCGGAGGGCATAAGGAAGGCAGTCAAGTGATGTGTCTCTCTCACATCAGTGTTTCTCTCTCTCTCTATTTCTCTCTTCCACTCTCTCTCTAAAAATCAAGAGGAAAACCCTAACCGGTTTGGCTCAGTGGGTAGAGCGTCAGCCTTCGAACTGAAGGGTACTAGGTTCAATTCTGATCAAGGGCATGTACTTTGGTTGCAGGCTCGATCCCCAGGAAGAGATATATAAAGTCAAGAGAGAAAAAATATCATCAGGAGATGATTAAAAAAAAAAAAGAAAGTTAGCTAGATATGTGAACTCTGATGGGAGAAATCAAGGAACATCAAAATATGGAAAGATACTTCATGTTCATGGATTAAAAGACTCAATAATGGTAAGATTTTAATTTTTCCCAACTTGATGAATAGATTCAATGCAATACCAATCAATTTCTCAAGAAGCTATTTTGTAGATAATAATAAACACACTCTAAATTTATATGGAGGTCAAAAGGTAATAATAAATTCACTGTTTCTGCCCTGGGGCACCAGAGGAAAAAATGACTACTTTTGTCACCTCAAATCCATCAAAAGCATATCTAGGCAAACAAGTTCTCCATGTAACTGGATTTCCTATCACTCCTATGATCAGTGGTGTAGTTTGGGGAAATGCATAGAGATGTTCCCGTAAATCCTCAATCAGAAGTGAGACCTGAGGGAGGAAAACTTGCCTGACAGTTTCCTACAGCAAATTGACCAGGTTGGTTAGGAGTCCAGACCAGCTTTTAATCTATTATTCCAGTAGATAGCTTGCCCCTCCCACCTCTGTTTGCAGGGTCATGGCTGGTACAGAAAACCATAGCTCCCTTAGCCTCTAGGCAACCTCCGAGGAACAGGCTGGAGGACCTGGGTGGAAGCGTGACCTGAACCACAGTTCTAGCTCAGGTTTCATTTGCAAATATTTGGAGAAATAGTATGTCAGCCTCCTTTTGTAATTGTCCACTGGCCCTTGCAAATGTCAAATGGGAGGGCAGTGGATAATCATGGGACACTTTCAATAATGGAGAATCATTCTTAAGTTCTGAGAAATGTTTTATGTTTTATTGATAATTTCTTTTCTAAGATAGTGTTTCCTTTGAAATTTGTGTTAGTTGAATTTTTTCCTTTCATTTCTCACCTATTGACTGTCTCTTCGCCTTTTTGTTCCATTTTATGGGGGAATTCCTTACCTTTATCTTCTGTCAAACTTATAACAGCCAATATTTCTTTCTATTTTCTGATTGATTACTTAATAGCAGCCTATTCTTTTTTCAAGGATGTAATATCTATTTTCATCCCTCTGGATATATTAATTAGTGTCTTAAATGTTTCTTCTGCTTCTCAGATTCATTATCTCTCCTCTGAGTTCCACTTTTACTATTTCTTTACTTTAAGCCTTACTTGAGGAAGATTTTCAAGTGGTGATCCTTTGTTGCCTGTTTATATGGAAGATTTAGATGGTGAGGCCTTCAGAAAACTCTACATGCATTATAAGAGATTGATGGAATCATGTGTCTCAGGGTAGGGAGCCTGGGTGGCCTGAGAGCTATTTTGAAGATGTCTCCAGCTGCTGTCTCTGAGACTAAACCTTCCTAGCTCCTGCTTAGCAGGCTAATCCTCACTGGTGGCACCTTGGAGCTGGCCAGGGTAGGAGAGGGGGCACCTCCCCATTCATTTTATAGGCTTTCATTTCATTGCCATGTTTCCTTAGAACAGTATTTCACTCCTACTCTCTTCAGGGGCAGTTGCCTCCAAGCCCAGAACCTCTCTGGTTCAGTTTTTCTAGAGAATAAACCTATTCTCTTGCTGGAAGGATGGAGGAGGATATAAACCTAACTATTCTATATTACCTGCCTCACTGCTATAATTACCCCTCCAATTGAATTGTCGCAGCACCTGATGTCTACAATCCTTGAGCCTTGCCAGGGTTCTATAACATGAATCAGCATATGTCTATTTGGTATCACTTTACCCCAATCAGCCTTCCACAGGTACCCGAGTATTCCCTTTCTCCTGTCTGTTATGTCATCAACCACTCTGCCTTGTTTTCAGTCTTCATATATTGTGGCTTATATTTGTCCTATATGTTTTATCAAAGACAGTGTTTGCTGACACATGTTTTTTAACCCAGTGAGATGTCTTTCAGACTTTTGAACCTCAGAGCTGTAAAATAATAGGTTTGTTTTGTCATCAGCTACTAAGTTTGCAGAGATTTGTCAGGGCAGGACTAGAAAAGCTAATGCAGTTTTTATAGGTCTGTTTTATGCTTTCCTGTGTTCATAAGGAGTTGGAGCCTGCACTCTCTTTCAGAGAGAATAACATGATTATTGGTACAAACACAGAACAACCAAGTAGTCTGTTATCTCATGAACATTTATTGACCTCATATTAAATGGGCATGATGCAGAAATGTGCACATCCTCTGTCTGTGGACAATTCCACTGTGTTCATCCTCAGCTGGGTATACACCAAGGCTCACGAGTCTTTTCCGATTATTCAAGCTCCTATAATGGAATAGTGGGTTTATGCCGTGGGCTCGTGTAGAGAATTGGGATTAGGAGAGTCAAGATGGCAGCCGATGGAGAATCTGCTTCCTTTTCTAAAATTAAAAATTAAAAGAAAAAATAGGCATTATCAAAAGATTAAACTCACCTTTCCCACTCCCCACTCTGACCTTGTGCGTGTAACTGAATTTCTTTAAGGTCTGATTGCTTATTCCCCCCTCCTTCTCCTGGTGCCTTAAATGAAATGTTCACACACTGTCCGGGTATCCATTTAACTCATGAAGAAGCCACATTAGTGGATTCCAAAAACAAAGCCAAGAGTGGGGCCCTGTAGTAAAACTGGCCCCTCCTGATTCAGAAGCGCAAGGCTTTAGTTTTCACCGAATTGTATGTTCTGCTGCACCAGGAAATCTGATGCCTTTTCTGCAGGCTCTCCCTTAGAGTCCATGGACTGGATTGGGATCCATATCCTAGATCAGCTTTTCTCAACCTGTGGGTCAAGACCCCTTTGGCCGAACGACCCTTTCACATGGGTCACCTAAGACAGCCTGCATATCAGATATTTACATTAAGATTCATAACAGTAGCAAAATTACAGTTATGAAGTAGCAACAAAAATAATTTTATGGTTGCGGGTCACCACAACATGAGGAACTGTATTCAAGGCTCGCAGCATTAGGAGGGTTGAGAACCACTGTCCTAGAGAGACGGGAAGGAAGAGTCCTAGGAAAAACAAGGGAGAGAACTTGTTGTCCTATGCCGATTTGAGTACTAAAAACCCAGACAATTCTATTTGGAAGATAAACCTCAGAGAGAAAAGAAGGTGTCTTTAACCTTCAATTAGATTTTATAGCTCATCTCAGCATCTTGGAAGGCAGTTAAATTTGGAATCCTTTCCCAGCGAATTAAAACCAGCATTGAAAATGGTTATCAAATCCCTAATAAGATATCAGGGGCAAAAGAGAAGAAACTTACAAACATGCTCTGAGGTGAACTCATTGTTTTCCATGGAGGTGCTGGGCTCATCTGCAATTAAGTAAAAAAAAAAAAAAAAAAAAAAAAAAAAAAAAAGTTTTTATTCACTTCCAATATATATCACTCAGTGTGTCTGGCATTCAGCTGAGTCTCAAGTAGCCCTAGTAAACATGGGACTCTAGCCACCAAACTGCCCTGCTCCTACCCACCACGGCACTCTGCCATGCCTGAAATCCTGCCTGTGGAGATTGTGAGATTCTCCCTCTCCACAACTGGTGGGCGGAGTTATGACATTACTGGCATCTGCCACATAGTCATCCCCAAGACATTGAACCACCAATCAGTGCATGCTGAAGTGCCCTGGAGCCCACCCCTTCCTATTCCGCCCTGGGTCCAACCCTTTATTGTTTCCTCCCCCTCAAAGACTCCCCCGACCCCCCACGTGCTACTCTCTCCATCGCCCTCTGTGGAGGCAGCCCAGCTAGGTCCTTTCTCCTCTCCCCATTCCTTCAATTCTGATTTCTCTACCTCCGTAATGAGTCCCACTCATTACTGGGGAATAAACTTTAATATGTCTTGGTGGTCAGTTTCCTGCGCCTCAAACCTTACAGAGGTGAAATGCAAACACACTCCATGAGGAGGATTTGGGTAAAGGGCTGGTCTTCACTTGCCCTTGGACATGCCTGAGAGGGACACACGGACCAGTCACGTCTTCATGTTTAAGAGCCAAGTCCTGTCTTCTTCCCCAAAGTGGACATCCTCAAGCAAACCTGCGCCTGGCTGAGAAGGGTGTAAACTTGGGCAGAGTACCTCCTAGAGCCCCCCTGCTTGAGTCTGTCCTGGAAAGCCTTGAAGAAAAATACCCCTCAAAGTCTAAGAATAGACAAAAAAAAAAAAAAAAAAAAAAAAAAAAAAATCAAAGCTCTTTGATCTTACCTGATGTGCCAGTTATGGGCTCTTCAAAATAATCACCAGGGACAGTTGCTAGAAATAAGGAAGTCACTTAGTTAATTTCAGCATTTTTTAAACTATACAGACATCAGGTCACCATATTGTACACCTTAAACTTATACAATGTTATATGTCAATTATATTTCAATAAAACTGGGAAAATATTAAATAAATAAATAAATAAATAAATGCATTGCAGGAGGGAAATAAAACTCAGTTAATTGATAATTGCCCACAGCCAGAAAGCATCTCTTGCTAAGCAGAAATTATAAGATGCATCTGGGCCATGAGGCTGCCTGTTGCTTATAGTCAAATATGAGAATTTTCCTATTGCCCCATGGGATGGGGGTAAGAGTGGGAGGATTAGGGTGGGAGGCAGCATTAACTTACATTAACTCATTTATCAACCACTACAGGTTGGACAGTGAGAGTACAACTGAGATACAGCTTCATTTTGCAAATGGTTATAGATAAAATCCCTAATAAGATATCAGGGGCAAAAGAGAAGAAACTTACAAACAAGCCCTGAGGTGAACTCATTGCTTTCCATGGAGGTGCTGGACTCATCTGTAATTAAGTAAAAAAAAAAAAGAGAGAGAGGAGGATAATTAGTGGAAAAGGAAGGATCTAAGGCCCTTTAGCTGCCACTAAAATACAATTTCTAGCTTACTGCTACTACTGCCTGCATTCCCCCAATACATTTAGGGCAGTGCTAGGATATAGTAAATCTCAACGAATGTTAGCTATTATTTATAGCTATAAATAGCAGATTGTTTAATAATTGTTTTGCCAAAACCGGTTTGGTTCAGTGGATGGAGCATCGGTCTGTGGACTGAAGGGTCCCAGGTTCCTTCCCATCAAAGGCATGTGCTTTGGTTGTGGGCACATCCCCCAGTAGGGGCTGTGCAGGAGACAGTTGATAGATGTTTCTCTCTCATCGATGTTTCTAATTCTCTATCCCTCTCCCTTCCTCTCTGTAAAAAAATCAATAAAATATATTTTTAAATAAATAAATAAATAAATAATTGTTTTTGTAGGTAAGGCCAACAGCACTTTCTTAGTAATAATGAAGGCATCCCAAAAATGATTGGGTTTTGTTCATTGTGACCGAGGCATTGACCCTGTGGCTAAAAGGCAGAGAGAAAAATGAAAGCAAATGAAGGCCTGAGACAGATATGGGCAGAGAGAGGACCACTGCTTCTTTTATGAAGCTTTTCAATCCCCCTTTCTTCTGTTCAGCCTAAATTCAAATAAGATTTACACTTAAATAATCTTCATTCAAAATGTTCCCTTTTTAAATTGAATTGTAATCAACTGGAAAAGAAGAGCGAATTCTTAAGCTATTTTTGCCACCCTAATAACCATTGATCCTTTGGAGACACAAGAAGCTCTTCCTCTTTAGAGAAGCCCAGAAGGCTGGTCCTGGAGACCAGGTCAGCACAACCTCCAGGCTGGAGCTTATCAGTGTTCAAATGGTTCTATTTGCTGACACTGGGAAAATGCTTCCATTTCCCTCAAGTTCCAAAGAAACTAACCATACTGTGGTAAGCATTTCACAATGTATGAGGATCACCTCAGAGAACAAAGCAGCAAGGTATTCCCAGCTGCATAAGTTACCTCAGGACATTCCTATGCAATGTGCTGTACATAAGGAAAGAGAAGCAGGGAGACATGTCTGCAGTTTTGGAGACAGGAATTTTTACCTGTGGCCACCTGAGTGGCTTTTCCCATAATGCTGGGGATATTTGAACCCACTTATAGGAAAACAGAATGGGAAATGAGTGTGGTCACGTCGTATGCTGGGAATCCAGTTTGCTGGAGGGGAGCAGCCTTTCCCTCAGAAATGTAAAAGATGGGAGCCCACCAACTCCTGCAGTTGGAACCCTTACTTACCCAAAGCCTGTATAGTGTCCAAATAAACACCAATGGTCGACTCTACAGCCCCAGTGAGGTCCAGGTCAGTGGGTGACTCTCCAGACCCAGGGAGGGCCAGATCAGTGGGTGATTCTACAGGCCCAGGGAGGTCCAGGTCAATGGGTGACTCTACAGGCCCAGGGAGGTCCAGGTCAGTGGGTGACTCGAAAGCATCAGCGAAGACCTGGTCAGTGAGGTTCACGTCAGGGGGTAACTCTACAGGCCCAGGGAGGTACAGGTCAATGGGTAACTCTACAGGCCCAGGGAGGTACAGGTCAATGGGTGACTCTACAGGCCCAGGGAGGTCCAGGTCAGTGGGTGACTCGAAAGCATCAGCGAAGACCTGGTCAGTGAGGTTCACGTCAGGGGGTAACTCTATAGGCCCAGGGAGGTCCAGGTCAGTGAGGGACACGAAAGCATCATCAAGGTCCAGGTCAGTGAGGGACTCGAAAGCATCAGCGAGGTCCAGGTCAGTGGGTGATTCTGGGTCAATGGCTGAATTTAGTTCAGGTAGTAACTCTGAGTCCTTGAAAATGTCTGCATGATGGTCAATGTCTAGAAAAAACAAACAGCTCAAATATTATCTAGCAAGAATATCTCCACCATCTCCACACCCTTCCCATCCCAAGCTAGGTCTTCTCTGGAGAAAACAGGGACATAACTTGGTTTAATGAATCAAATGGCATCTCCTTCCCACAAGTCTCTCTTCTGCCAACTGCTAGAACGTCCAGAAGACTGACTGCCACCCAGTAGTATGCTCAGTGTCCCTACACCATCCTTCTTGAAGGGTCCATTTAGGAAGAAACGTTTGATATTGTGCCTCTAAATGTCAGACTAAAACAGAATAAACATTCTAAAAACTTCCCCTCTGTACTCCTGGCAGGTTTCTGAAAACTTAAAAACAAATAGGGGCAAAGAGCAAGGAAAACAGCTATTTCCAAGGTGCACATCAAGAATGGAATCAAAGGGGTGCGGAAGAGGGTGTAGGGGGGATAAGTGGTGATGGAAGGAGACTTGTATTGGTGAACACACAATAGAATATACAGTTGGCAGATTATAGAATAGTACACCTTAAACCTATATAATTTTATTAACCAATATCACCCCATTACATTCAATAAAAAAGAAAAAAATAACAATAGAGTTGACTCTATGGGCTATTCTTATGATTTGTTCACTAAATGTCTAGGACTTCATTTTCCAGAGTGTTCCATAGAGTATTCAGTCCAGATATTTGGGGGCTTGCTAACCATATATAAACATCATAACCATGTAGGCCTGATGAGGTGCAAACAGGGACTTCTTGGGCGATAGTGGGAGATACAGTTATATGATGCCCAATTCAGCAGATTAGGAGCATTCTACCAATGAGGCCAAAGTCATTAGCTCTCTAATTTAGTCTCTTTGCTTTAACATTCATTCACATGCAACTAAGAAGACAACCCCAGCACTTGATATATTGAGAGCTACCTGGGAAGAGGTGAGAGGAACAGGATGGAGGAAGTAACCATTTTAATGCAAAGGAAACAACAGCACTCCTCTTTAGAAAGGACTAGAAAAGAAAGCCTTTGGGGCAGAGCTTCCTTTCTCTGGTCCACAGGACACCTCCTTCTTTTTCATTCCAGACCAGCTGATATCCATTGTGTGTGATGGAGCTGATTGCTAAAGCATTTTTGAAATTTACTCTGCTGTGAAATGAGGATACAGCCTAGGATTTATAAACCTCCATTAAATAGAACAAAGCCTCTTTTTAGCACCCAACAGTGAAGAACACAGAAAACCCTCAGTAGCTCTCTAATCACCTACGCCAGTGGTCAGCAAACTCATTAGTCAACAGAGCCAAGTATCAACAGTACGATTGGCATTTCTTTTGAGAGCCACATTTTTTAAACTTAAACTTCTTCTAACGCCACTTCTTCAAAATAGACTCGCCCAGGCCGTGGTATTTTGTGGAAGAGCCGCACTCAAGAGGCCAAAGAGCCGCATGGGGCTCGTGAGGTATGGTTTGTCGACCACTGGCCTATGCTAATCTCATCTGCCCAGCCTTTACACCTTTATGTCAATTCGAACACGTTGCCAAAATCTGAGCTTAGCCACTCAGCTGCCCAAGGCCTCCAGAGCTCAACCTCCCAACCTCACCTTAAATCCAAGTCAATGTGTTTTAACCACTTCACTTCATATATCTATCTATCTATCTATCTATCTATCATCTATCTATCTATTTTGCTCTTCCTCATGCCACAGCCTCCCTGCCCCTTACACAGACACACACGCCACAAGAGATTTTAGCCCTGTTCTCCAAGAAACCCCCCAATAGTCCACTTACCTTGGAGTGCTAAGTGGAAAGCCCCAGCCAGGACGAACCAGGTGGAGAAGATGAGGACCTTCGTGATCATGGTTCAGGCAGCAAGGAGCACGGCACGCTGGAGAAGATGAGCAGGCCTGTGGCAAGCCCTCAGTGAACTGGACTGACGAAAGTTCTGCTCAGCTTTTATAGAACCCTCAGCCCAAGGGTGCGGAAGGCAGCATTCTCAGGTGGTTATTGTTTAAAAAAAAAAAAAAAAAAGTAAGCCTCACCTGCTCTCTGTCCCTCTCTCTCTCTCTCTCTCTCTCTCTCTCTCTCTCTCTCTCTCTCACACACACACACACACACACACACACACACACACTGAGAATGTCCCTGGAGCAAAGGCCCTGGGGGAGGGAGAAACAAGGCCAGGTTGGAGGAAAACCCTGATAAGGTCTTAGGTTGGGTTGCCCCAGTACCATTAGCAGCAATTATCTGCTTTTCAGAGGACTAGGGGGAAATTCTAGTTTCACCAGCTAACAGAGGACTCCACTCCTAGCCCAACATTGCAAGTTTGTCTTCTAGATGGGAGCCAAATCCTGTTTTACTAAACTCTTGAAATGCTACTTTGAGTCAGACTGCGGGACTAAGAATTGTGGTCTCAGCTTGATGGCTTCTTGGATTCTAAGGGAGAGTCTTATTACACAGGCTTCTAACCAGAACTGGTCTCTCAAAGAGAATTGTGGAAGAAAATAATAATTACTCCGACTAATATCACTACAATAAAACGGATATATCTAAAATTGTAAGATTTCACGTGTGCTATTATCATATTTGATTCTCACCACAATCCTATGAGAGAGTCATTATTATCCCCATTTTTCTGATGAGGAACCTAAGGCCAAGGGACTTCAAATTCATTGATGCCAAATTCAAATGAAGATACTCAAGTTATGCAGAGGTGTCGTTAACATCAAGTACTCTTGGCTGTGCATACTTGGCTCCTGCTAGTGACTTTCCCCGTCCTCTAGGGGCAGTAGGAAGCTGCAATGTGTCCTAGGCCCAAGCTCAGATGAAGCCTCACAGTAGGTGTAAAATGGGCTGAGAAGATACAAGACAGACTAACACATAAAGCAGCCTCAGCATTCAATGAAGAGGCATGCACATTACCTGAAGAGGGGGTGTGGAACACATCTGTGCAATGCCCATCACCGGGCCCAACTCCTACAAGTCCTGAAGACCTCTCTTATTTGCGTAAAAAGTCACAGCTGATTCCAACACCTCAGAACCCACAGGGTTGGCAATATCACTGACAGAAATTTACACACAGCCCAGAGTCCCCAGAAAAGATGTTATGAACAGCTCACTGGGTAGGAGGGAGAGGGCTGCCCCCACCTCCACTCCTGTCTTGTATAAGTAAATGTAAATGAAAGGGCAGGGCAGGGCGAGGATGAGCTCCCAAATCCGCCCCGCAGGGCGGAGTAATCCCTAGCCCTCATCCAGCCAATCAGGGTTAGCCGAAGCAGTGACATCACCACCGAACGTAGTAAAACCCCTGGACTGGGCGAAATTTGGGCTCTTCCGCCATGCTGCCGTCGTGAGTGGGAGGAGCCCATGCTAGCATGGAACAGGCTCTTTTGTTTATTGCATCGGACTCGGCTCCCTGGTGGTTCTTGGGGATCACGAAGTCTGGGCGTAACAAGAGACCTGATTGCATTGTGATAAAGCCAATTTATTAAAGCAATTAGAGGAGGCAAATTTATTAAAGAAGCAAGGCTAGCAGATCTACTTCATCCAGCTTGGAACGCAGATGGACATCTCTCAGCTAATCTGAGCAGGGAGTTGGGTGGGTGTTCAAAGCGTTATGTAGCCTCCAGTCTGTAGGTTTCAAAACTGCTCTGCTGAATATCTTGATTCAGATTCATTCTCAAGGTCCCTTTTTAAATAATTTGTGTGGCCTTCCCAGGATTCACGAGAAGCACCTGGCAATTTTATCTTGCCAAGCCTGAAGACGGCTGGCTTCTTTGTTTAGGAAGTATATAAAAAGACAAAACAAACAATAGAAAACCTGTTTTTCTATTCCTTTCCCCTTCCTCAAAATGGCTGATTTCTTTGTTGAGTGCAAGAGAAAAACTCCCTTCCCTCCCCCTTATCCCCTCCTTTCCTGCATTCTTCAGTTGGAGAGTCATTAACCATTTGCTTACAAGCCTTCTTGGGAAAGAAAAGGCTTGCAATTTACAAGCTGGCGGTAAATGGTCCACACTGTTTGGCCTTGTTTTAACTTCCTTGTCTGTTTCCCAATTCCTTTTGCCCTGGAATTTTCCTTGTTGTTCACTGCCCTGTAACAAAACCTTTCAGCAAGAGTTATAACACTTTGCTCAACTATGTGCCACAGGTATATATTGTTCTTCCCAATACCAACCTAAGGTAGTTTTTTATTCCTCTCCTTTTTTAGATAAGGAAACAAGTTATGAAAGGTCATACAGTAAGTACCGTACATCCAGAAGCAGCCTGGTCTGGCCAGTGTGGCTCAGTTAGTTAGGTATCCTCCCAAGAGGTCACTGGTTTGATTCCCAGGCAGGACACATGCTCAATCCCCAGTGGGGGATATGCAGAAGGCAGCCAATAGATATTTCTCTCTCCTTGATGTTTCTGTCTTCTTCCTCCTTCTCTAAAAAATCAATAAAAACATATTTAAAAAAGAAGAGGAAGAAGAAGAAGAAGAAGAAGAAGAAGGAGGAGGAGGAGGAGGAGGAGGAGGAGGAGGAGGAGGAGGAAGAGGAGGAAGAGGAGGAGGAGAAGAAGAAGGGGAAGCAGCAGCTCCGAAACCAGTTTGGCTCAGTGGATAGAGCGTCGGACTGCAGACTGGAAGGTCCCAGGTTCGATTCCGGTCAAGGGCATGTGCCTTGGTTGCGGGCACATCCCCGGTGGGGGGTGTCCAGGAGGCAGCTGATCGATGATTCTCTCCCATCGGTGTTTCTCTCTATCCCTCTCCCTTCCTCTCTGTAAAAAAATCAATACAATATATTTTTAAAAATAATAATAAAATAAAATAAAAAAGAAGAAGAAGCATTCCATTGGGCAGTCTGATGCTAGGGCCTTTCTCTACTACTCTCCTATATCTCCCCCAAGTCCAGTTACCTACCTGATCCCCTCCCTGCCCACGCTGTCCTGTGAGGTGAAGCCCTGCACACACTTCACCTTAAGGCAGAGGTGGGTGGCGCAGGAAGGCCCTGGTGGGGAGCACGGACAGGAAGGCTGGAGGGAAGCCTGAGAAGCAGCAGTGAGCTGGAGCCTCCAAAAGACCCGAAGAAGCAGCAGAAAAACCTGGGGAAACTAAGACAGTGTCCTCCAGGAATGGGAGGGAAAGTTCCCAAAGCAGTGCTGAGGAGCCATCAGCTGAAGAAGCTGCAGGCCGCCCTACAGCAAAGCCTACAACGATCTCCAGTTTAGGTTTGCCATCGGCAGACAGATGGCAAAGAAGGCCGCAGCCAGAGCCATCAGACTTGGATCAGGCAAACCCAAAGAAACCCTTCCAATGCGTGCTCCAAAAACCCTTTCGATAGCACAGCTTTTAATGAAGACCAAGATAGAGAACCCGAGGAAATGCCCACAGGAGCAAAGGTGAAGATGAAGGATATTGAAAGGGTTACACAACATTAGCAGGACCACACTCCTTCAGTAAAGAAAAGCATGTGTTTTCTTTTCTTTTCTTTCTTTCTTCTTCTTTTTTTTTTTCCCAATACATTTAAAAAAAAAATATATATATATATATATATATATATATATATATATATATATATACACACACACACACACACACACACAGAGAGAGAGAGGAAGGGAGAAGGATAGAGAGCTAGAAACATCGATGAGAGAGAAACATGGACCAGCTGCCTCCTGCACACTCCCTACTGGGTATGTGCCTACAATCAATGTACATGCCCTTGACTGGACTCGAACCTGGGACCCTTCAGCCCTCAGACTGACGCTCTATCCACTGAGCAAAACCGGTTTCGGCCGTCAATACATTTTTATTGATTTCAGAGAAGAAGGGAGAGGCAGAGAGAGATAGAAACATCAATGATGAGAGAGAATTCATGATTGGCTGCCTCCTGCATACCCCCTACTGGAAATCAAGGCCACAACTCAGTCATGTGCCCTGACTAAGAATGGAGCCATAACCTTCTGGTTTAACCCTTGACCACTGAGCAACACTGGCCAGACAAGCATGGGTTTTATGATAACCAGAAGCTATAGGAGCGAAATATAAAATCTCATCTTGGAAATGCCCATGACCAAGACAATTAAATCAGCGTTTTTCAACCGCTGTTCCGCGGCACACTAGATGTTGCCTGGTGTGCCGTAGGTGCAGACAAGACAAGAATTTTATAATTTTTCACTATTTTGTTTACTTAATATTTCATAATAAAGTAATTATAAAATACTTTCTTTGTGTTTATTTGATTCCTATTCAAGAGAATTACTTTATATATAGTCAATATAGGCACAGAGTTAAATTTTTTAACATTTTCTAATGGTGGTGTGCCTCGTGATTTTTTTCATGAAACAAGTGTGCCTTTGCCCAAAAAAGGTTGAAAAACACTGAATTAAATGATATGATTTGAAATGGGGGTGGTGTAGAGTTAAAACGAACAGTTTCCTTTTTAAAGAATGGTATAAAAAAAATAAAAATAAAAAAAGATTGCCTTCGGAGACACCTTTTTTTCCTCAAGGTTGAGTGAGAGTTTGAAATTAGACATGATTTATATTTTCTATACAGATTTCAAGACATGTGCTAAGTTTGTAGTTTTGTATGATTAGTTTCCAATGGTCACAGATAATTTTTGAAAATCAGAAATAGTACCTTTCTAAGAATGGCATATTTTTTAGGCACAGCTGTTAGCACAGTAAGAGGGAAGCAAAAAGTTGTTTGTTTAAACTGCAAGCAATTACTCTCTAACTTAACTCCCTTATTAACCTAAACTTTCCAACTTCCAGGATCAGCCTTATAGAAAAGGAGTATTGTATTGGAGCAAAATGTTACTGAAAGTAAATTAGATAAAATTAAAATATTGCTCATCACTGGATCCAATTTACAGATGAGGAAACTGAGGCACAAACAATTTAAATAACTTGCCCAAAGTTACATGAGCCAGTAACAGGTAGAGGCATGATTCAATCCAGGCAAAATGTTTCAGAGTCAGTTCCCATCTTTTCTCTGTATAGATTCATCTCTT